TGTACCTTTCCTTTGTCGGACCGAGAATCGGGTAATAGATTCAAATAGATATGCAAAAGAATTGCCAACTCAAATCTCTTCATGCAAATATCAAAATCGCGCAATGCCTTTCCGACCTAAACTTTCGATCCTCCGGAAGAAGCATCAAATGTAAGTACAGAACCAATTCCTTCTCTCTCGCCTGCTCTTCTCGGCGCAAAGTGAGCAGTGTATTTCTGTCAACGCTGCAAATCAGACTTTCGCTCAGCCTGTGTTGTAATGTCATGGAAAATTCCCCTTCCCAGTGCCCCTACGCAGGCAGGACGTGTCTGGCCTTGAATACTGACCAGGCTTACCATGTCAAATGACCAGGCTTGGCTTGGTGCTTCGGTCCTATATTTCAGAAAATTTCATAGTCTACGTAGATCAAGGACAGACCATTGCCACTTCTCCGCCGTCAACTCGAGCCGACCTTCTTCATCCATCTACATAGCATAGCTGTCGCAGAAACCCGATCAGCTCTTCTCCTATCATGCAACCTTACACAACGCCTAAGACTCATCTAGGTAGGTCCTCTCGCGCGGTGGAGACGGCCGCTGCAGGAGCGTCCGGCGACTGCGATCTCACCTTCCCTATTGAGTAGGACGGACCGCATCATGCACGGTGACGGTGATCCCCACATCCACCGTTTACTACATAACGTAGGTAGCACAAAGGATGTCTCTCTTTTTGCGCATTCCGTTTACCAATCCTCTCAATCTTTCTGTCTCTTGGATGAAGTCTCTATTCTTTCGCATGACATTACGAAATCTGCAGCTCTAAGGTTTCCATCTTCATTATATTCTACTCCGCTCTATCATCACATCATGCATTTGAACGTCCCCACCCTCCTGCTCTCCCTCCTTCCCCTTGCCACCGCAAAATCTGCCTCCCAGCCCATTTCCTCTCTCAGATCCGGCGTCGCTCCCAATCTCTCCCGCCGCCAGATCCTCTCCAAAAGAGATGTTGACCCTTCAACTCTCTACCCCGCCTATAACCTCTCGGTTCCCATCGATCACTTTCATAATGAATCTATGTATGAGCCTCACTCTTCTGGGAAATTCAATCTGCGCTACTTCTTCGACGCCACATACTACAAACCGGGTGGGGTACGTACATTTCGGAGTTGATCCTTCCTATGTGGTATTGAACTTGAGTCACAAGACATATTTTGGGGAGCAAGAGGACTTCTCTACTCCCGAGACTTGTCTCGTAACTCCATTACCTGCCTCGAACAAGCAGTGCTGACTCCAAATTCCGCGTATTTCAGCCCGTCATAGTGCTCGAATCCGGCGAAGACGACGCCACAGACCGTCTCCCCTATTTACAGAAAGGGATCGCACATCAGCTTGCTGAAGCGACGGGTGGCATTGCCGTGGTGCTTGAGCATCGCTATTACGGGACTAGTTTCCCAACGCCAGATTTGAGCACGGAGAACTTGAGGTTTTTGACGACGCAGCAGGCGCTGGCTGATACAGCGTTTTTTGCAAGGAATGTCGTATTTGAAGGATTGGAAGACCAGAAGCTTACAGCTCCCCATACACCTTACATCGCGTATGGGGGCAGTTATGCGGGGGCTTTTGTCGCTTTTCTGAGGAAGACGTATCCGGATACTTATTACGGTGAGTACTTCGGGGGGGAGTTGTGAAGAACATGGTATTGATCGGTTTCAGGGGCAATCTCATCGTCTGGCGTGACCAAGGCAATCTATGACTTCTGGGAGTACTACGAGCCAGTACGGGAGTATGGACCGCCTGACTGCATTCTGGCTACACAGAAGCTTACTAATATTGTCGACAATATATTGCTTGGGAAGAATAACACCAGAGGACTGATCAAGGAGCTCAAGACGGCCTTCGGCCTGCAAGATATTCAGTACGTTCTCTATTCGTTTGGTTTGGTTCGTATAGTGTCCGCAGCACAGAATGTGGAATCCTTGAGTCTTTTGCGATAGGACTTGTAGAGAAGAGCTTGCGCCTAGAAACCACGCTCGTTGGGCTCATTGGCAACTTCTTATTCTACAAACATTGTCGCAGGCTTGGACTCTTTACTAATGGCAATTAGATACAATGATGATTTTGCCAACGCACTCAGCTCAGGAATCGGAGGCTGGCAAGGCCGCAATTGGGACCCCGCCGTCAATGACCCTTCTTTCTCGCAGTATTGCGGCAACATCACAGCCAACAGCACCCTCCAACCGGTCCCAGCAAACCTAACAAGCACAGTCAAGCAACTAGTGGCAGCAGGCGGCTATGCTCCTCAATCTGCAACCCTCACAACGCAAATGCTTAATTTTATCAGTTACGTTAACACGACCCTCGTCCAGCCTTGCATTGCTGGGGGGCAGACAACGAATGAATGCTATACAACACACAATGCCTCCTTCTACGCCTTGGACGATATCACTCAGACATGGAGAAGCTGGCCGTATCAATATTGCAGCCAGTGGGGATTCCTCCAAACAGGCTCTGGCGTCCCCAAGGATCAACTCCCTCTCATCTCACGTACCATCACCCTACAGTATGAGTCCATCATCTGCCGTGACGCTTTCAACATCACCACTCCATCCGACACGGCTATCATCAATGCGTATGGTGGGTATAACATTAGCTATGACAGATTAGCCTTCATCGACGGGGAGGATGATCCCTGGAGAGGCGCGACGCCCCACGCGCCTGAAGCAAAGCCTAGGACGAGCACGACTGATGAGCCATTTATACTGATCGAGGGAGCCGTGCACCATTGGGATGAGAATGGGTTGTTTCCCAACGAGACAACAGCGACCTTGCCGCCGGCTCCGGTAGCGGACACACAAATGGATGAGGCTACTTTTGTCAAGGCTTGGATGGCGGAGTGGAAGGCGGGGAAGCGATGACTACTCGAGAGGGGTTTGGTTGAGGGTTTCAAAGAGCTCTGAATAGTTGCTAGCCTCTGCAGCACTATACATCCGCACAGTCGCCGTAGTGTTTGGTCAAAAATAGCAAGTCAGAAAGCTGGCTATTGGCAGGCAATGCAATGATTGGGCCAGCAATGTCACAGAGCATGCTGCAGAGCATTTTTTGATGTTCCGAGTTGTCGCCTGTCCACGGTTATCCTTCTACCAAATCATAGTGACAAGACGTTTGTTTACTCGCTTAATAAGCGAGTTTGTCCACAGCTGTTCCGGATGATTCTTTTTTGATCAAAGGTGTGGACATACCGGTTGCTAACCTGCCAAGGTCTTCATCTCACTCTAGAAAATAAGAAGCACCGCAACACCATTGTACCAGCGCCATTAGGAATCGAACCTATTATGAATCAAATACCCTCTAAGCTCGACCGCAACTACAGGTGCGTGCCCCCGCACGACAAGGACAACACTTCTGCTGCTACACTCAAGCCAGACCAGATACAACTGGGATTCGAACCCACGACCTTCGGGGAAGATGCAACGGCAGCACTGCAGTATTGGCGCTGCTAAAAAAGAAAAAATTATTATATTATTGTATCAGCGCCAATAGGAATCGAACCTATTATGAATTGGATACCCTCTAACCTATCAGAGGTGTGGACATACCGATTGCTAACCTACCAAGGTCTTCATCTCACTCTGTGAACTTCTCCATCCCAACCACAACCTCTACTGGCTTCCAGCCTTTGCATCAAAACCCCTCACAAGACCACCAGCTCTGGTCTGTTCTCGTCCTCCAGCTCGTCTCCAGCCAACGCAGTACGTCTCCGCCCCACCCCGGAAGCTCATCAACATGGTCGCCAACACCGCAACAACAACCTCCACAGACTCCACCCCAACGCATCGCTCACTCGCATCCGCTCCATCCCATCAGCACCTCGCGACAGCTTACCCTTCTCTAGCAAAAACCCAACAGTAAGCATGTCATCCCCCCCCCCTTCGCTTTCCAGAGACCACCGCTCATCCTCCTCTACCCCACAGACCCCGAAACTCATCCCTTGGAGACGGAGCAACACCTCCGATTCGGCAACCTGTCCGCGCACCCGGCCTACCGCCCCTGCACCATCGACCGCCGCCGCTACCTCCCCCTCATGTCCCACCTCGGCGCCACCCTCGCCGACCAAACCCTGACCTACGCTCTCATCCTACGCGTGAGCCGATCCCCCCCACACCCATCCCTCCCGAAAAAACCCCCAAAAACTGACCTCATCCCTCCCTCCCCAGCGCGCAGGGCGTGAAGGATGGGCTGGTGGCGGTTGCAGCGGAGGCGGGATTGTGGCGGCCGGGACGTTTGGATCGGGCCCCGGGGGGGGGGGGGGGGTGCCGTATCTGGGCGCGTACGGGGCTGTGGAGAGGTTGATTCAGGCGGTGGTGGATGTGGATGTGGGGGTCGGGGGTGTGGAGAGGATTGGTTGAGGGAGGGGGGTGGCTAAGGGGTGGATGGATGGACGTGTCTTTTTTTGTTTGTTTTTTAAAGTCTTACTTACTTACTTACTTACTGCTTGCGTGCTGGGGATGTGGGTTGTGGCGGTGGTGGTTCTTTTTCTTTTTTCTTCGTTTTTTCTTCTTCGTGAGGGGGTTTGCAGGTCGAAGCATGGGAAACGGACCGTCCACCGGGACAGAGACTCTGTTGCGTGCAGACTGAGCGTTTTTAGCCAGCAGAGATCGCACATGGATTGAAGTGATCGATTCCTAGTCTTTACATGTCGTGTCTCTTCATCAAAACGGTTTCTTTCCATGTCACATGGTCCAAAGTCCAAGGACTGCGCTGGAAAGGCTGGGAACTGAGTTCTGACCCCAATCTTTACTTCACTTGGCCCAGCCTCAACCTCAAGGCGTTGATTGTCAACGAAATCTCCTCGGGTCCTGAAACACCGACCCTTGAAATGAATTTCCTTCAAACAACACACTCACCAACCATCAACATCCACCTTCAGAGCTCCAACCACGCAGTCTCGACCATCCTCTCAGCAAAACTCGCCTCGTGACTCGAGTCAGAACTGAGCATCGGCCTCACGGATCGAATCACAAGATGGCGGCCAACGGCTCGAACGTCTCTAAGAAAGACATGGAAAAGCTTTACGGTGCTCTCATCTCCCGCACATTGGTTCAAAGCTCAATCCTAACAGCACTCCAGGGCCATGCTTGAACGAAATGCTCAACGCCGCGAAGAAGTCGGCGGAGACAAAAACTCTAGACGTTGTCGTCGCCGACGAGCCCAATTGTCAACCTCACCTCAAGAACCTACTGAGCTCCCCAGCCGTGCTCACCGAGCCATGGAAAGCCACTAGCAGATTCGATGGATGGCAGATTCCTGAATCCGTGAGTGAGGCTTCCGTACACCCTCTGACGGCAAACGCTGACTGCTGAGTGGGATAGATGGTGCCGAATGCGTACCTCAAGAAAGCCCTGATCGGCGACCACCACGAGATCCGCCTGCATCCTTATCTCCCCAGTGCCTGGATCGGACGCGCCGCAACGCTGTTGGCTTTAGGGTACGCCGAGCTTGCCGTCGCAGATGCGCACAGAGCCCGTCTTCTGGTCAAGGAGTTGAATCTGGCAGTGTGGAACAACACGGGACATAGAGATAGTGTGGCAGCGAGCGTGATGATGGCGTTTCTGGACTCGCACGGCAGGAGTAAAGGAAGTGATGATGACATCATTGATCGGATGGCCTCCGGTTACCGACAGGCCACTCTTCTCGTGGTCCAAGGTCTTAACTGTCTCGAAGCGTACGAGGATGCGGTTTACACTCTCGAGCATTATCTGGAAGGAATTCCCAACGAACCGTCTTTCACTATCTTGCTCAAAGAGACTCGAGAGAGACTGCAGGAGCGCAAGCGAATCTTGTGGGAGCAGCTCCAAGATACCACCGCTACCGAGACCGCAGCAATGAGAGGGCAAGTGCACCGAACCGCATACCCTTGGATCATCGCCGGCGAGATTGATCGAAGCAGCGCAGCGACGAAGAGGCTCAAGGCAAAGTTCAAGGACGCATCGCACAACGCCGCCGTCGCTCCCAGCTCACTAGGAAGCGGTGAATCGAATGAGAGCCTCGGAGTCTTCGCAACACAAAAGATCCGCAAAGGCGAGCAGATCCTGCGGAACAAGTCCGTTTTCGCGGTCCGAAACGTTGCTCCGGGTGGAAACTGCGGTCACAATAGCTGCAAGAACAACTACTGCGCGGCCGACCACTGCGGAGCTTGCTGTCTCACCCTGTTTGGTAAAGGCATCCCCGCTGGCTGCTGCAGTATCAGCTTTTGCAGCGAAGAGTGCAAAGCCGACGCCCTGAGCTCGTACCACAAGATCCTCTGCGGGAAAGACTTTTCCGAAACCTACCAGTCGGGCGGCGCGACGAATCCGGAGGACGACGGCGTCCCCCTCATTATGCTGAAGGTGCTCGCGACAGCCGTACAGCAAAAGGTCAAACCCCTAAAGGTACCCTGCGTCGCAGCCTTAAAGGCAGACTACGACACCCAGATCCCTTCACCGTTCAGTGTGCAGGAGAACATCATCGGTCCCGCGCATATCCTGCGGACCATGGGCGTCGACATATTCACGGACCCACGCTTCGACCCCTGGGCCCTGCAGACGCTCTTCCTGCGGATCCAAAACAACAAGCAGATCGCCCTCGTCGGCAAAAGTCTAGACGTCGGCGTCAGTCCGCTGCTCAGCATGTTCCACCACGACTGCGATCCGGCCGCCGCATGGGAGGCGCAAGACGGCGGTATCGGAGGCCCGGTCAATGTGGTCGCGTTGAGGGACATTGAAGAAGGCGAGGAGATATGCGTGTCGTACACGTTGGCGTCGTTGTCTGAGGCGGAGAGGAGGGGCAGGGTGGAAGGATACATTGGTAAGAGGTGTGAGTGTGCGCGGTGCGTGCGCGAGAGGAAGCAGGAGGCGGACAAGGAATTTACCCCTGCAACGTCGTTGGCCCTGCTCGGACTTTGACTGTCAAGGTGGTCCTCTCGGTTTGGAATCGAAAGATCCAGTCTCCAGACGAAGCAGAGCGGCATGATCTGCTGGGGTGCACCGAGACGAAGCCTGAATGACTCAGAGGCTCAGCAGACACAAACTCGATAGCAAGAATAAACCGATAGAATCAAAGAGCAAGCAATCCATTGCATCCATGACTGCTCAACGAAAGCGGCATCCGAAGCAGCGTCCCATTCTGCAGCGTCATCCTTCGCTTCTGCCTGTACAGGTACTCAGCGAACCGCGCGCGTCATGCTCATGGCCAATGCTTTACCACGCTTTGCGAGCGTCAGCGACACCCTTCATCAACGACAAGCGAGTCACACAGCTCCGTAATTGTTGATTGGAAAGGTACACGCATCCGCTCTCGTTCATGTCATACTCCTCGCATGATCTAGAGCTGGCGATAGGTCAAATGGTTGGTTTCCAGGCTTAAATTGCATCAACTACTGGATTTGGATATCGAAACTGCACCAACTACTATCAAAAATCGAAACCAACTATCCACGATCAGTGTAAGTAATAGTGGAGCAGTTTTGATAATGTAAGGATTTAAAATTCGCCGGGTAAGACCTTCGAGACTATTTCCAAATACTGTTATTAGATATCTTCTAATATATATAACTGAAAGGTAGATTGTCTACAGCTTATCGTAACCTAATGGTCGCCGGAGCTCTTGTTGAAATCTCCATTGCCGGACGACGATGTTGCTCACCCAAATTCGACTCGGTCGCCTAGCTCAGATGCATTTTAAAATCAACAGCTGCTCATTGCCGGCGCTCAAGCGCACAATACTGCCTCGCCGCACTTGGAGTGGCTGCAGCCTTTCGCATACCATCCCTACACCCGGCCTCCTTCAAGCCTTCGACTTTTTGCCGCGGCTCATTCCGACTCTCCGCCCTCGGACCCGGCGTCCTTCACGCCGTGCAGTCTTGTCTTTGCCTCTAAGGCTCCACGTTCACCTCGTACACGCCGTCCTGATAGCCCTACAAATTCATCATCAGCCCATCCAGATATCTGAACCCTCTCATCCATCCTCCGCCTTAACGCCCCGTGTAGTCGGGGAGGGATCGTCCAGCGCGTGATAATACCCTTCCATCTCCCCCCTGGCCTTATCCCAGAGCGCCGCCAGATCTTTCAGGCCAAACTCCTCGATCCTGTGTTCGCCCTTCCACAGCTTCTCATGCACCGCGTGCACGCCGTGCTCGTAGTCTCGGAAATTGGGGCTGTTGATGACCCAATCGTACCGGATGCTCTTCCACGGCAGGGGCCCGTCGAGCCGGTGCGCCTCGATCAGCAGATTCTGCTCCGGCTGCGCAGGGTCGAAGCGACCTTCCTCGTGCAGCACCGACGTGTAGTAATCGTACATCTCCTGCGAAGGGGCCGCGAGGAGAAAGCCGGCATTCACCTGCTCGAGCTCGCCGTATTTCGCCATGGACTCATAGTACTTTTCCTCCGTTTCGGAGTCGTGTTCCCGACCACCGCCGTTCGTCATGCCTGCAAACATATAGGTAGCTGGAAGCGGTATCTTGTCGCCCTCTCTCTTCTTATCCTGCAGCGGCGCGACCACTTCCGTGGCCGGATCCTGGAACACGCCGTCGAGTCGGCGCACGGGCAAGACGTCCGCGTCGAGGAGGAGGATCTTCTCGTACTGCGCCTGCTGGAACACGCGCAGTTTCGTCATGACGTCGACCCAGAAGGGGTTGCCGATCGAGAACCAATCCGGCAACTGGACATCCTCAACGACGATCACCACCGCGCCGTCTTTTCGAAGTCGGGCACGTTTCCGCTCCGAGACGCCTTTCGTGGTCAGGACGACGAAGGGAATCGAGGTGTTGGAGCGAGTTTCCGCGTTGTGCATCAGCTGGTAGCCCATGACGCGCGTGGAGTAGAAATAGATGTCCTCGTTATCATCGTCGAACTCCTTGTGCTGCCAGTTGTCTGCCAGAAAAGCCACGAATGCAAAGGGAGACTGAGCGGCTTCATCTTCTTGTTTGGCCGGCGGATTCACTTTAGTAGCGTTTGCAAGTGGTGCTGGTTGCCGAGAGTCGGCCAGCAAATCGGATGGTTGATATGACTTGGTGGCATGAAAATGAGCGAGTTTGGCAATGGTGGTGAGGGCTATGGCTGCCAAAAGGATGTACGAAACGAAACGGACGTTTACGGGCATGGTGAAGGGACAGGGAAAATAAATCGAGGTGATCGATTTGCCAGAAAGAAATCAATCCCCTCCCACGACCACAACCAACAGGTGTCTACCCCGGACGGTAAGCCAACGAAGGAACATTTCGCTTCGCAAATTAATGCGTGGCACGGAATTCGAAACAACGGCTGTTTTCGGTTAAGAACTTGAAAACCTGAGACTAATGGCGCTGCCAGATAGTAAAAATAGCCCCATTAGCAATCGAACCTAAAACAAACTAAATCCCTTCCAACAATACGACCACAGCCAACAGGCGTCCACCTCGGACGGTGTGGGCACTGGACATGATTTCAGTTCGGGATGACTTTTTGTCGGTAACTCCCGTGGTTAAGTGGCAATTAGCACCACCCTGGTTCCAGGGCCAGCATTTGGGGGTTGAATTGGGATATCTCGCTTACTTGGCCCGGTTTCGAATCCGAAGCGTGAGTATTTGGGTTTTCAGTCGTATGTGTAAGACTGTGGAGTGAGGAGATAGGGGGGTATAGCGTAGGTACAGAATAATAATTTTAGTTAGGGATGACTTTTGGCCGGTAGCTTCTGTGGTTGAGTGGCAGTTAGCACCACCCTACTTTCAGGGCTAGCAGCGTCCACCCCGGACGTTAAAACCTGGGACTAATGGCGCTGCCAGATAAAACTAAAAACAGAACGAGAAGCAGCAGTGACAGTATCGTTCCCGGAAATGTGATTTCGGTGAGGGTAAGGACTCGACAAGCTTGCGACAGGCTTTGCGCAGCGAATCAACGAAGAGGAAGAAGACTGTGTAAAAGGAAGAATTAGATGTGTGAAAGCTGACAGAGGACTTGTGAGTGAGGTCTTTTGAGAGAATAGCGAGGCGGCAGAGAATGACGTCTTCGCAGGCTGATGAACAAGTATTAATAGACTAGAACACAACAGTGATCTCGTCACAGGGCCAGCTTCACGGTATCGCACCGTGGGCGTCAGAAGCCTTGGAACGTTTCTTAGATTCTAAAGTATGGAAGAAGACGAACGATCCAGCCAAGCAAGCTATACTACATATGGCTAGCAAAGAAGAACCCACAGGATGCCCCTTCCGACTACCTATACCACTGCAACGTAGTGCTACGACTAGTATAATTTACTGTTTAGTGACGGTCACCTTTTGGTCTAGTCGTAACGATGAGCAAAACCCGTCCCGCTTCTACTCCGACAGTCAATTAATATAGTAGTTGATCGCGTGGAAAAAACATAGAAAAGGAATCTGTCATCCAAAGCATGCCGCATCAAGTCCAAGCAATTATAGCGCGGATTGGCCCGGATGAAGATATACAGGGCGCCTCCTAGATCTCGTGTTTCACTTTGGTAGATTCAATTTGCGGATATTCGCCTCAGAAATAAATCAGTATAAGTGATATTAGCGATACCGTATTCTCCTCGTGGAATTCTTTGATTGTCGCCAGAACCGAAGTACGAGCCAACTCGATCTCGGATGGTGATGACGCCTCTCTGGGCGTCTTATCGTTGACAAATGAAGAGCAGAGCGATTTCGACTGTCAAGATACTCGTTGCCTTCAAAAATTCGTTGCGGAAAAGAAATGTCGATTCTACTGGCTAGTTGCAATCTTTCTCTCGCGTCCGGTCCAAGTTACTTTGACTTCATAACCGGAATTCGGGTGCATCAACGAGAATCATTGCTTCCAACAATGAATCAAGGACGACACGATCCCGTAGTATCGAAGACAGACGAGGAGAAATGCGTGTGCGCTCTTTGACCGGACTTGTTGCTGCTCTGCTTCGGAAGACAATCAATCGGCCATGCATCGTGACCCGACAAGACTCGACAAGACTAGACATGAAGGACAATCGGCACAATCGACAGCTCTGTATTCGGTGCTCGGGAAGTTGATTCCGCTCCAAGAGTTTGCCCAACATGGCTGTTGGTACTGGGACCTTGGTCTTGCGCAAGCTGCCATGCTTGGAACTGTATTAACTGCCCGAGATCGGGTCCTAGAATTAGGCAGTCCGGCTCTGGTCGATCTAGGTAAGGAACTTACAAAAGGTAGTCTGCACTCTCAGCTCACAGAGCACCATTTCTTTTCATCTTTTCTTTCTGTATCCCACACGATGTTTTCCAGGTCCGCTTTCTTCACGGGGCGTACTCCTCCAGTGCCTGAAGCCTTCCCAAAAAGTGCTACGGCTCGCGGAAAACAGAAGGACAAGAATGAAATGAAACAGAACCAATCTGCACCCCATTCGCCCTCCCCAGAGACATCAAGAGCTTCGAGGTCCTCAAGTCCTATCCAGCCCCAGTTGAGAGACTCGGTTAACGAGAGCTCTTCCAATTTCATCGGCAAGAACGCCAGCCCTGATCATCTAGATGTTCTAGCTGAGGCGGCCACGTCGAGCCGTGCGAAGGGCGCAGAGACTGAGGCTCGCGCGCGCGAACTGATTGAAAAGGAAGGCCTGAATCAGGCTGAGAGGATAAGCAGCATTGCTGCTGAGAAAAGACACTTCGCTGAGATGGTCCACAAGCAAGCGGTCGAAGAGGCGAGGGACCCCAACCATAAGAGTTTGTGTAAAAAAGTTGGAGAGATGGTAGGGCAGGACCTCGCAGAAGTTACAATTTACCCAATGCTTGATATCGAGCATAGTGATAAGGCGATGATTGCAAGAGTCAAGAATCTGGTATTATCCGTCTCTTTGTCTGACTGATAATTGCTGTGCTGACTGGGGTAGCTTGGTCCTAGTATTTCCGGAGATGACGTTGTGCTCGGGAAGCCATTTGTTGCTGAGCAGGAAGACAGTATGGCAATATTGGATGATGAATCGCTCTGCGGGATTCTCGTGACAACACAAAGTCTCCGCGGGGCAGTCAGAGTTGC